TTACACAAAACACTTTGTTTCACCCATAGTAATTAGGCTTCATGTAATGTAATTGTAATAGCTTTCCTTGTGGTTATCAAATTGCTTAGAGGGACAGTTCACCCAAAAGTAAAAATGATGTCATCATTTACTCACCCTCATGTTGTTCCAAACCTGTACGACTTTATTTCTGTGCAACATAAAAGAAGATATTTTGAAGAATTTTATGGAGGGGGAAAAAAACTTTTGAGACATTTTTCAAATGACTTCCCTCCAAGTCCTGTGTGTCCACAGAAGAAAGTAAGTCATGCTGGTTTGGAACGACATGAGGATGAGTAAATGAAGGCAGAATATTTGGGTGGACTATCCCTTGAAGTGAGAGTACTTAGCTCCTCAATTTCAACCTTTCGGCTGTGACCATCAGCTGCTGATTTTGAATCTAAAATCTTACTTCCCTATAGACTCCTTTGATAACATTCTATCATGTTTCTTTTCCACACTCTCCAAACTCACTCACCACCGGAGTAACACAGTGTTCGGTGTTCTGACCTCTGTTATTGTCTGTCTACAGCTTGATTAGTAGATCAAGTTTTCCCTTATCACTTCTATAATGATGATTCACAGCTTTACATCTAATATTCCCCTTTCATCTGCAGAAATGATCTCAGTCTGCATCTCTGAGCACTCTGAACTTGGAAGGTTTCTCATTATTAACTCATCTACTGCTGCTCTCATTTCTCTATCCTTACAATTGGCAGAATTAGATTTTAACTTTTTTTTCTAGCCTACAGTACAGGAAAGTGCTGGCCTCCTTTTAGATACAGGCAGCGACTGAACCATACATCAGACACATACATCATTGTGTAGTCCTCCATGTGTCCATCTAGGTTAGGAAATTTCTCTGTTCTTGTCTTCCAGTGTTGAAATGGCACCCCATAAATACAGTTATAACTGCTCTTACTGACAAGTCTACAGCACAGTCTTCTTACAAATTCTTTAAAATTTAAATATACAACTAACCAAAACAGATATTTTACAGTATAATATTCTGTGTTGCTGTAAGGCTCTTGATATAAATCAAATGGCGAAGAGATATCCATCTGTCATCTCCTGTTGTCTCTCTGTGATACAGTCCTCATCAGCAAAGGGTCAAAGGGCAGAGGTTAACAGGCACGGATAAACCATGACCCCCAAGAGGATTTTTATTACCCTGTGTCAGGCATAGCGTGGGTATGACTTTTTGAATGTGTACACGTACGGTGGGGTTCAAGTCTAAGAATTCTGGTGAAAATGCTGCTCTTTTGAACTTTTCTCCTGTGCTACAATTTTTTATTTTTAAATTATATTATCAGCATCTCAATTGGAGTGAAAAATAAACATATATTTTAGAATATCTTTAAAAATGTTTAGTTTGTCCCACATTTTCTGTCATGACAGCAGTACTCGAGCTGCCTGAACCTTACAAGTTTATGAGTATATTTGCTGACATATTTTTACTAGCCTGGGCTTTCAGTTTTATGAGCTATATGAGGATTCGATATACAGTAGTTTACACCCTGTTGAAGGCTGTATATCACCCTGTTGATATAATTCATCTTAAGGTGTTTAAATTGGCGTTTAATTGACTGAGGCCACAAGTTCAGGTATTTTGCAAAATCTTAATTATTTTACTATTCATACCAAGCGGCCAAGGTTTGTCCATTGGCGTTTCATTATTCATTATTTAGCAAAAAATAAGAGATTAACACACACAGACACACTTTTATACATATATTAGGTTCATACACTGATCACTTATATGGGCTCCATCTGTCGATGGGCATTTTAAATCCATAAGTATGTCAGTTTTGTAAACTTTAACAGTCTAAAATGTTATGGACACCAAGGGAGTCTTGAAAACTTTAGAAGGTCACATCTGAAAGATGACTGCCATTTGGAGTATTCGACAACTGGATAGATGTTTAAGACAGCATGAATTCTCCTCTGCTTTGCTGTCTTTCCCTGTCCTACAGAAAAGAGATTTGCAACCTCTCTGCAGAGAGATTTGTGGGATGGACAGCCATCCCTGAACCTCTGATCTGCAGATTGGAGCATTTAAACTGCAAAAGAGGAGGGGAGGAAGAGGAGAGAAAAGGAATCTGACAGATCAGTGCAATACAGGGCAGCAGAACAGATGGAAGCATGAAAAAGATCACAAGATTGCAAAAAGGTCCATTTCCAGATAATGAAGATTTAAGAAGGACATAGGAAAACATAATTTTTGTTCTATTACTGTACAGCATAAATATACTGAAACAGCGGAGCACAAGGCCAGTCACAAATCACATTCATAACGGCACACTCACACCTGATGTCACACCTCTGTGCAAACCTTCCACCGACAAGTGTGTGGTACCATAAAGACAAAATGTGTTTACCTTTAGTTATTTCAGATAAACAACTGTCACACTTAAACATACTCAAATTGTCAGTTTTTTGTTGATTGAACAGTTGTTAAATGTCCCGGTGAGTTACGATCTTAGAAAAGGATCAAGTGTGTCACCAGCGGGCTCAGATTGTGTACCTTTTGCAGAAACCACTCAGCTGGCCAATCAGAATTTAATGCATTTAAAAATGCAAGAATTTTTTAGCTTTAATTAATCAACAGTCATTTTCATGTAAATTTTCTGTCTTCACTGTTATAACTGGCATAAAACCTTCTTGTATGGATCAGTATGGTGATCTTTTTTTTGTTGAAAATCTCAGTAGGTGTAGTAAGATTCAGATGCCTTATTGTCTAAAAGCTCTGCATCAATTTGGTCAAGAAAATGAAAGAAGGCTCTTTATTTCACTAAGTCTGCATTTATTTGATAAAAAATACAGTAAAACAATCAAATTGTGAAATATTGCAATTTAAAATAAATAACTTTATATTTTAAAATGTAATTTATTCATGTCCTGGTAAATTTTCATTTTCAGCAGCCATTACTCCAGTCTTTAGTGTTGTGTGATCATTCAGAAATTATTTTAATATAATGATAATGATTGAGTGCGCAAATAACATTTTTTATTACCAGTGTTGAAAACAGTTGTGCTGGTTAATATTTTTGTGGAAACTGTGATACTTTTTAGCATTTATTTTAAATAGAGATCTTTTTTATGACATTATAAATGTCTTAGAGTTTATTTTTAAACAATTGAATGCATCCATGCTGAGTAAAAGCATTAATTTTACTATTAATTAATATTACTGACCCCAAATTTTGAACAACGGTGTTTTCGAGACCTTAAAAGGTATGGATCTGTAAACGGCAAGTGACGTCAGGTCAGATGATGTAGGGGATGAAACGGAGCTTTGGTAGGGGAATTTGGGTGGGGTTGCCCCCATCAGGCTGGAATTCTGTGAAGGGGTCTCGGAATGTAGAGAACGACTGTTATGAGATAGGCCTGTGGGTCAGAGGCCTGAATGGGTTCAAAGGACACCTGCTGGACCACTGTCAAAGCTGGCTGAGGTTTGAGTCTCCTTGCTTGTTTATTTCTGTCTCTAAACAGAAATTTTCTTAACGTAATTGCATTGCTCACATATTTTCCAATAGTCCCACAAGAGTGTCCTTTGTGATTCCCATTACTGTTCTATTATTAAACTAGTCTGAAGCCTAATTGACCTTTAACTTAATAGTACTGTGCAAAGTGGAAAGGCTTTCTGATATTATATTGTAAAGTCTGTGATTCCAGTTTTCTCCAAATATTTATGGAATTCATAAGAGTCAAATAGACTCTTTTTTTTTTTTACTCTCTGTGCCAAACAGAGAGTAAAAAATGAAGGTAAGGGGTGAAAAATTTCTAGATAATCTATAGCTAAGAAAATTAACACATTTATTACAGTTAACCTGTCAGAAGGCCATTTGAGTTGATGAAGTTACTAGAGTATACAGGTGCTATTTAGATTACAGTCCTGTCCAGCAATGCTGACTGAATCCAAAATGTGATCGACAGCGTACAGTTGAGAATTGGGACATTCTGCCATCACTGAAATATTTAATGTGTCCGAGGGAATTGTGAATGCTTGGTTATGTGATTACACTGTCCAAATTCCTGAGCCACTCAGATGGGTAATTTATGTTTGAATCTTTCTAATCTGTCTTATTGTATGATATCAATGGCGTTTTAAATTTGAATGTACTCGACATGGAAGCTGACGCTGAAATTAAAACCATGAACTGTCAAATCCTTTCTCAAATCTTCGTCTTCAACCGAGTTCTTTTCCTGCACCTGTTTTAACACTTCAATATAGTACATGAGAGAAGTGCCAAACCGTTTGAATAGTGCACAGCCTCTTTACTGGATCTTCACGAGAGGTGCCTCCCTTTTGGAATTCAGCCTGATTTCTTTTTAAAGCAAGTGTGGTTCAGATAACATCACCTTAAATACATGAAAGAAACCAGTTTTTACTGTATTTTTGATCAAATAAATGCAGCCGTGGTGAGTATGAGAGACTTCGTTCCAAAACATTTTTAAAAAATCTTACTAACTCCAAACTTTTCAGAAATAGTGTACTTTAAAATGAGAATATTTTTTTAATTAAAAACACATTTGATTATACATGTATGACCAAAATCCAAACTCAGAACAAGCTAAGGGTACAACTGAGCAAAGTCTGGTGCAGAGAGAGGGAAATATGTCAGAAATAATTGCAATATATCACCATTTTGAATAGCGCCACACTAAATTGTATCGCCATACCTTTTGCTGAAAAGATTGTTACAATTCTGACTCTTCATTAGGGCTGGGTATCGTTCAAAAATGTTCGATATCGATACCGAATGTCGGGCATTTGTCGGCGATTTCACAAAACCTGTCGGCGAGTGAAAAATCGGGCTAATATCGTGCAGTGTGAATTCGGCATTAGGTATCGAAATTTGGTACCGAACGATGAGACGTTTTTCGATACTCGATGGTATCGAGGCAATTCGGTCGGTGCCTAAAAAGTATCGAACTCGATACCCAGCCATACTTTTCATGTCTCTTTCTTTCTTTTTTAGCCTCTTCAGAAGAATGAACAGATCTCCATTTCCAGTCTTAATGGGAAGACAGATGATCAGACAGAGTATAATGGCCACACAGATGAGAACCCACCAGCTGAGGGTAGGTGCTCGTAACCACATGTGCTTGAACATTATATGTGTTTATCACTCTCATATCTTTATTACCATGTCTGTGTGCATGGTATGACAATGACTGACACTAATAGTGGGCCGCCTCCCAGCGGCAGGGGTCTCTGTGTGTGTGTGTGAGACTTAAGATGTGATCTTTATCTTTTTATCTGTGTGCCCTCGTTCCCCAACTGATCCTTCTCATAATCCCCAGCTATCCTAAAAGCGAGAACACCTACATAGTCTACAGTGAGTGGACACCAACATAGACCTCTTTAGTCCCCTAACCATAGTCTGTGAGAAGCAATAATGCATACCATGCTTATTTTTATTCACTTTTTGTGTTCCTTTCTTGCTTTTCAGCTCAGAGAGACCACCGAGATGCTTCCCCCCAATAATATTTAGCAAGCCATGACCTAGCTGACCCCTTAAAGAGGTGTATGTTTGTAATAAGCTAGCCTCATACCATGTATATAAATCTTAGGTGTCTTTAAATTTGGAAGTAAAATAACATGCTTTGTTGTGCTCAAATGGAGGAATTTCATTATGAATCAAACCAAAAAAAGGAAGCCATGCTGAAGAATTGCAAAATGATTGTATATAGAGAGCCATGAATCTGTGCAGAGCAGAATGCAATTTGCATTTTCATTAATAATCGTGAATATAAGATGAGTTATGGTTCTAGTAGTGTATCATATAGCTTTCAAAGGTTAGTATGTCAAATAGTGATTCAAGTAGTAAATTCTCAAGCTTATAATGTAATCATTCATTTTTTTTTATTCATTATTTACGTACATTTTTGACATCCACCCTATCTGTCACTGACACATTGAAGTTCATTACTGAAGTAGCAATGACTGATATCAAAAAAAAAAAAAAAAAAGTTTGTTCACAGATCTGACATTGCAATTTATCTCATAAACATTGTCTTTTTATATAAAAGTGTATCAAAGCAAGAACAAAAGAAAGATTGACTGGGAAAAAGGTTTTACCACTAAGGCAAGGACAGAAAGCAAAAACAAGGCCAAATAGTCTCTCTTCTGTGCCACATCTGACAGTGTAGACTAGGGGGCTCTGTGTAGTAAATGCCGCTCCATCTGAAAGCACGTGCTGGAGATTTACTACTAATTACAGAACCAGCTTTACTGACAAGATACGCATGAAAATCGCATTCGATTATTTGCACAGCCCTAGTGTAGACACATTTACACTCAAATAAAACCTGTTCCTTATTGTTGTGGTTGTAGATGCAGTGAGACATTATGTATAAAAGTCTCAAGCATGACAATACCAGGACAAACCCTTGAAACGCTCCAAAAATGCCTCAATAATGGCTTTATTTAATCTGCATGATTAATGCTGTAATGCCAGCCAAGAGTATTTAGCCATAATTTTCTAGTATGCTCAGTGCAACCATTTATTTTCTCCAGCATCCCCAGAGTACCAGAAAAACCTCTGGAACGTTTTATAGAAATGTACTGAGAAAATAATGTGCGTAAAATGAATGTGTTGATATATCTGTCTGTTCTCCATTGTTAAGAAACCTCCCAAAATATGATGCTGTTGGGTTTTAGTGCAACTTTACAATTGAAACCATGTACACAGAATCAGATAAAGACAGATGAGAGAGAAGTATGATTATTTTGGTGTTCATGCTGCCAAAAATGTCTCCGGTATTGTGCAATGTCTCCCCTGCCAAAATCAACAAAGAAGAAAGTAGTGCTCTCTATATTAAAAACACATACATTTTTACCATTTCCTTTAATCAGCATCTTTTTAATTTTGACTACACCTGGCTTTTCAAATGAATCATGAATACACACAAGCTCACACATTCACATACACCTGACTGAACTGATGTTCTTATGTCAGCAGGAAATTACAAACACAGATTTACTTGCCTGAACTATGTGTACAGACATGCATCAGATACATGTATACAAAAGTTTGCTAATGAATTAAGCTCACCCATCCACTCACTCACACATGCTCAAACACACACACGCTGCCAGGCATTTAGGAGGTGGCGATTTGAGTGAGTTCAGAGAGTGAGCTCAACCATTATCTCATACACAGTCCTCCCCCACAGAGCCATGTGTGTGTTTTATTCTGATAGCATATGAGTCTGTGTTCCATATCAAACATGTTTTAACAGGCTGTATGTGATTATCTGTTTATCTCCGGAATTGAGTCTTGCTGGCATAAGCTATCCGTTTAGTCTGTGTTTTTGTGCGTTTGACCTATTTCTGTGTAATTGTTTCCAAGGAGATCTCCATCTCTAAGAGTGTTGATAATTGCTTCAGCTTTTTTTTTTATTGGTGTTTAGAATTTGAATCCAAATCTGAGTGATTTGATTTTGACAACGTGTGTGTGTGTGGTCAATTATTCACTTCTGAGAATCACTTTTCCAGAGCTGCAGTATGATTTGAGGTCAGATTCCTGGAAAATTATGAACATATTTTTATTTTGATTAAATGCTTGTTTTCTAGTTTAAAATAAAAACTATTCAGGTCAGGGTCTTTTGAAACCACATACAAATTACACTGATTTCTTGCGTTGAGATTTATTAGTAACTTGGGATTTTCTTAACTGAGTAAACATTGATACTACGAGTATGTTTTAGTAATACTCATGCTGTTGATCAGAGAAACACACAGATGAGGAAAGTTGAGATGACATGAGAATGGAATGTGAGAAGTGTGGAGCGATGAAGGGTTTGGCAGAAAGAGAAAACCAGGCAGAGTGTAAATATATGTGTTTGATTAAGAGTAATTTAATTCCTTTCATTTGCAGCAATAAAATTGTATAAATGAACAGAGAAAGAGTGCATAAATGAAAAGATATAAGAGTTTTCCCTGTGAAAGCAGAAAAGAGTCTAGTTTTATTATTGTTTGGCTGTTAAACATTCATTCTGACTGTGGATATTGAAAAAAGGATATTGAAAGTGAGATTTGGTATGGGTAGACGGGGAATACATAGTTCAGACAATCAAATATTGGCTTGATGTTTTACATTACAACATGTTTACATAGAATCTCCCAGACTTATTACCACTGGGTGATTAATAAGAAATGTGATTGTCTTATATCGTGTCATTGAGATAAGTCACGTCATGACAGTAGTTTGCCAAACATATATTCATATAATTTATCAAAGGTGACAGTAAAGAAATGTATAATATTACAAAAACAATCTGTTTCAAATAAATGCTGTTCTTCTGAACTTTCTGTTTATCAGAAAATTCATTAAAAAATGTATAACAAAAATAGTAAGAAGCATCAGTTTTCAACATTAAATCAACACAACACAATGATTTCTGAAGGATCATGTGACACTGAAGGCTGAAGTAATGGCTGCTGAAAATTCAGCTTTGCCATCACAGGAATAAATTACATTTGAATATATTAATATAGAAAATAGATATTTTAAAATAAATATTTCGAAATATTACTGTTTTATTGTATTTTTGATCAAATAAAGGCAGCTTTGGTGAGCATAACAAAAAAAAGGATCAAAAACATTTGAATGTTAGTATATATTACAGTATCATTTATGTAGGTACATAGAGCACAAGTTCACCAAATGGACTACAACCACGAGGTGAATTATGATGTCACCAGTACAAGTTGTACCTAGCACTGTGACAGCTCATGGAATAGTTATGCACTATTAGTAATCTGAGTCATGTTCATAGTGTCCCTTCTGAAAAGTGACAAATTAGCCCATGCAGGGAAAGAAAATGGCCAAATGGTGAAGGAAACTGGTGAAGGAAAAGAGGAAGCAATGACGCAAAAGAATGAGCGTACTTCCTGCACAGCATTCCTCAGCTTCCTCTATCCATAGAAAGCAAAGGAAACGGGAAGAATAAAATAAGGAAGGCTTGATATAGAGATGTAGAGTCAGAGGAAAGTACGAAATGCAGAGATGCCGTTTTCAAGATAATGTAGTGAGCGAAATCAGGCGAAAGTATAAAGCGGGAGATTGCTGGAGAGTTAGGGACAGTTCTCTGATCCTGGCCAGATCTTCACACAGCTCTCATTTCCCTTTCCTCCCATTATTTCGACATCATCTTCCTGGCTCAAGGAATGCGTGCACAGATGAGGGCGTTTGTATGTGTGTGGAAGTATGTGTGTACGTGTGTGAGTTGGGGTCTGCAATGACGTCGCAGCATGCCCTGCAAGCCCATAGGCCACCAGGGAGCCCACTTCCACATGTTCCCAGCCAAAACAGACCGCCGACTGCTCACGCTTCTGTGTTTGATCACGTTTCTCTGATGCAAGAGATAACATGGATGTCATTCTGGGTATCAGATTCCCCATGACAGACCATGACTGTGATTAGCTGTTGGTGTTTTATCACATCTTTCTGCATCGGGCTGGAATAGACCATCTATGTTAGTTGTGTCTTCATCGCCAAATCCTCAAATATGTCTCAGCTTATAAGTGATACATTCAGGAAGTAGAGTACAAGCTTCCTCTTTTGAGGAATATCCATTACAGTAGAAAGGGAGTGACTCACACTGTCTTTAGTGTGAGAGAGTCTGTGCTTATTGAATTCTACTCCTATGGAGTCATGCACTGGGGGCAAAAAGCCTTTCCCATATGTCAAATCCCTCTGATCTGAGCCCGATGGCTCTGTCTGTTGCTATACATCCCAATAAAGTCTGAGGACGGCTATTCATCAGCTATTCAAGAAGAATTTACCCTACTTGTCCCCTCTAGTTTTGCACCCAAACACTTTCTAATGCTATAGTCCTTTTCAGTAACTTAAAACATCACAATAACATAGCAATCAAATCATTTGAATACAATTAATGTCTGGTAAAGTGACCGATACAGAAAGAGCTTGTGTTTAGTTAGGAGAGATAAAATACCAGTCTAAACCAGATGAGTTTCCGCATAGTCCAGACCAAACTGGAGTAGAGTTGTTATCACCCATTTAGAAGAAGATTTTAGCTGGAATTCGCACATTCCATGGGAACAATGGCAAGGT